ACACACACACACACACACACACACAACCTCACCCCCTCCTCCCCAAAACAGCTCACCTGACTGTCCAGGCCCAAGTTGACCAGCATCAAGAAGAAAATAAAAGACCAGAACGAGGCAGCCGGAAGTCTTGTCAAGCCGTCTGGGTAGGCGATGTAGGCCAGTGCATGGGCTGCAGGAGAAGAAGGCGTTCGTTTTCGGGGATGTTGTTTCTCTTTAATGGTTTGTTGTTGTTTTTTTGTGGGTTTTTTTTGGGGGGGGGGTCTTGTTTTTTATGTTTGTTTGGTTGGGGGTTTTTTTTCCTTTGAATGTGTGCTTTTGATTGTTTTTATGGGTTTTTTGTTGTTGTTGTTTGTTTTTATGTGTTTCTTTGTAAAGAGTTTTACGGCTTTCGCAACTGCAGAAGGTCATATTATTATTATCAGCGCGCAGGACATAAGTTGGTTGTTTTTATTTTTTAAAGCATTTTCAATTTTGAAAGGTATTAATTTAGAAAATTGACTGGGTGGCGACCGAAACCTATTCTTTTCAAGAGCATTCGTGTCTGTGTAAATGTGTGTGATTGTGTGTGTTTGTGTGTGTGAGTGTGTGTGTGTGTATGTGTATGTGTGTGTGTGTGTGTGTGTGTGTGCGCACGCGCGCGTGAAGGTGTTACATTTGTGTATATGTGGATAGATAGATAGGTAGATAGATAGATAGATAGATAGATAGATAGATAGATAGATAGATAGATAGATAGAAAAAAAGATCGTTGAACAAATAAACCTACTCACGCTGAAACCGATAGGGAAGCTCTTCCATGCTGGCGTGAGTGATGTGGCCCATGTGGCCGAGCACGGAGAAGATAGCCATGCCAGCCAGGATTGAGGACACGCAGTCTGTCATAGCCACAACGATGGCGTCACGGTAGCAGTTGTTGTGGAACTTGTTGTATGAGGCCAGGGTCAGCATGCCTCCAAAGCCGATGCCCAATGAGTAGAGCGTGTGTGATGCCGCGTCGCTCCAGATCTGAGTACAGCACGACCAAGTGAAATATACGTAGTTTATAAAATAATAACGTTTTTCGTCGGCCAAGTGTTCAGTGTTACTAAGCCCAAAGATTTTTATTCTTTTTTTCTTGCCTTTGTTGTTGTTTTGGTTGATGATATTGTTGTTATTGTTGTTGTTGTTGCTGTCGTTGTCGTCGTCGTAGCTATTCCTTTTTCGTAGTCAGCTATATGATAACAATATTGATTTTATATAAATGAACTCGTGCTCAAGAATATAACGTGATAAAATGGTAAAAGTAAAGTCCTTGCTTTGAATGACTTAGAGAACAAAATTGGCCTTCATGCAGGCCACGAAGTGGGGCTGCAGCTACGCTTTACAAGGACAAGAAACAGAGGGCTGTGATGGTTGTCATGCACGAAGGCATGGGGGGGGGGTTAAACTTTACTTTTACCTAAAACAGAACAACTAAGTATACATATGCTTAAGTCAGACAAGTCTCTTCATTGCTTTTTTTCGGTAAGTGCTTTACGGCCCTCGCAACTGCATAAGGTCATGTGAGCGCGCGAGACACATCAAACATTTTCAGTGGCCTAGAGGTTAAGATGTTCACCTCTCTTCAAAAGTTCATGTTCGAATACGGGTTTCGATTGAAAATGTTCTTCTCTCAAATTTTCTCCTTTCCCAACCTTTCCCGCTCTCTAACAATGTTCTGTTGTCTACTTTTATCTCCACTTTCTACCCTCACCCCCTCACCTTCTTTTTCCCCTCCCCTGGGCTTCTGACTCTTTCTGCAGCCTTTCTACTGCTACTGCTTGGCTCCTTCTACTACTGTCTTTCTGCCTCACCATTGGTCTTTAGGTAGGAAAGATCTACACTTAGCCTTCTAGGACAGTGGCGAAAACTCTCAGAGGCCCCGTTTGCAAGTTGCGCACTTTAAAGATCCCATGGTGGTCTAAAGTCGATAAGAGTAGGCTTCGGCCGCCACCGGGCAAAATTCGAAATTTCCTACCTTCTGAAAATATTTAGTGCGTCCAGTGCGCTCATATGACCTTATGCATTTGCGAGCGCCGTAAAACATTTACCCCCCAAAAAGTATTATAGAACAGACAACTTTTTATATGACGTCAAGGACGTAGGTACAATGGAACAACAAGGTATGTATAGAACAGACAAGTCATCACACGACGTCGAATACGTACCGTACGAAAACTGTAGCAGCCAAATATATATTATACAGTAACATAAAAGCATCTCACCTTCAAATTCACCAAATTCTCCCACTTGGGAATGACGTAGAATTTGATTCCGGCCATGTGACCCTCCAGGGTGATTCCTTTGATCAACAACACCATAAGCAAGATGAAAGGCACAGTAGCGGTGACGTGGACTACCTGTAACAGATGAAGGCTTGGATGACTGTACATATTATAAAATGCCTTGAATTCAAAACAGGCAAAAAATGTGTTAGGATGGTCGTTGTTTATTTGTTTGTTTGTTTGTTAGTTTTTGTGAGTTTGTTTCATGAGAAAATGGATCCAAATAGACATACTAACTGTCATCCAGTGAAAGGAAAAGGAAGACAGGCACACAGAAACAACAGAAGGTTAGAAAATAAGTAAGCCCCAATTATTTATTAAGATTAGCAGGCACTCCAACGCAGGTGTAAAGCGCATAGAGCCTGCTGTAGAGCGGGGATCTGCGGTATACAAATGCTATTTATTATTATAGGTGAACAGGTCGAAAAGAAAAGTAATGCCTGTAACTATACTGTATGGGCTAATCTTATTTCCCTTGGTTCTGTTTTTGTTCTTTATTTCAGCATGTGAACATAAGTCATCATAAATGTTGTATGTCCCTCTGTGCACCGTTCAGGTCATTTAAGAGGTGGGCTGCCTCGACTCTGCCTCCCAGAACAGGCCAGTTTCAGTGGGATATCAAATTTAAAGAGACAGATGGAGATGCCCACTTAAACAAATATGTGCCCAAACACGAATCATCATCATCATCATCATCATCATCATCATCAGCAGCAGCAGCAGCA